GTGTGATCCCCAAAATAAAAGCAAACAAAAAAAAATAAATAAAACAACCCCAAAATTTAATGAATGGTCTCTTTGAAAGGTTACAGGTGGAAGAGATGATATTTACCAACTTAAAAGAATTTCAACTTCTTTGTGTACTATATTGAGTCAAAGTAAGAGAAGATAAGGCACCAATGGTAGATTTTTTAAAATGGGTTAAGATCAAGTGTGTACTGTCACTTTGGTCAACAGGCTGAACTAATAGTACACTGCCTTGCATGCAACCACTCAGGTTCGATTTCCGCATCCCCTGAGCTACTCCAGGAGTAATTTCTGAGTACACAACAAAGAGTAACCCCTGAGCTCTGCCAGGTATAGCTCAATACCAAAACCAAAAACTTTTAAAAAAAAAGTCTGTATATCTGTATTATTTAAAAAGTGGTTATTTCTGTATTATTATCATAAACAAATGCCTATACAAAATAACAAGATTTCTACACTTCATTTTGAATTTTAACACTAATTGCATTTTTTGGTGTCTCAGAAGAAATTTGGCAGCACCAGGGACTTTTTGTAGAGCAATGGTTCCAAAAGTTATTCGGTATGCTGCCCAATCTCAACAGGGGAAATTATTCAGTGGCCTCCTAAAAATCTACCCTTATCCTAACATAGAGAAACTGCTCCCCCCACCCTCCATATTGGTAAGGTAAGCTACCGAGAGTATTCAATATGCCAGACACAGTAACAACCCTCCATATTGCACCCATCCATTTTGGAAAACACTGGTGCATTTACTTACTCCTTAAATAATTTAATATATTCAAACCAAGGCTGATTTTCCCTTATCACCCAATACTCCATAAATGAGTTACTCCACTTGGTAGATATATATTGAGAGAACATGTTTAGAGAATGTAAGTGAACAATGATAAAACATCACTACCATTAAAAAATGAGCATGCAACAAAATAATCTAAAATTCAATCCAAAGAAAACTGTATTAAACAAACCAGCACTCAGACTCCCTCCAGCCATGTCAATAATCCATAGATCTCTCATGTAGGTTATGACATTAGCCAGCTGAAAATACTGAGCACTAAATGCATTACGAATAATACTAAGAATCAGTAAGGATGTAAAGAAATTGGAAATTAGGACATAAAATGTTACAGTCTCTGTGGAGACCAATATAATAGCTCTTTAGAAAAAAATTAAGCATAAATTAAGCGAATTATTCCTTTTCTGACTCCAGATGTAAAAAATTCCAAAGTAGGGCATTAAGTAGATTATTGGAATATCCACATTCATATGAGCACTACTGATAATACTAAAAAAAATAATGGATTCAAATGTTCATTGACAGAAGCATGGCTAGATAAGATGTGTACTAAAAACACAACAGAAAATATCCAGATTTGAAAAATGTATGGAAAGGGACCAGGAGACTGCGCAAAGAAACCGAGCATGGTGAGGCATGGTAAGTTAAGTACCAGGGATTTCACTGACCCCCCCCCCCCCACACACACACACACACACAAAGCACCATTGCCAACTGTGTCCCTGGTAGTCCTAGTACCACACTCCTAAACACTGAACCATCTGGTCTACATAATCAGTGGGGCTTGGCCCTGGTTCCCTGAGCATTGATGCAAGGCTCCCCCCCACAAAAGAAAGAAAATTTTAACAAGGATAAATCTTGAAGACACTTATACTAACTGAAATGTCAGGCATAAAAGGATATATATGATTTCACTTATATGCAATATTAAGAGCCATCAAATTCTATTTTTAAAAAAAGCATGCTGAATGTTCATCACCAGGGATGCAAAAACAAAGTGTGGAAAGTCAATGTTAGACATGCATAGAATTTCAGTTTTAGAAACTAAAAATTTTGAGAAAAGGCTGTCAGTGATGCTTATATGACAATGTGAATGTATCTAATGACACAAAACATTTTAAATGTCAAAAATGGTTATTTTCCATACAATGTGTAGTTTACCACAATACAAAAAAAGAAAATGCAGAAAAAAAAAAAGAGAGTACTACATATGTAGTGGGCACTGAGAAATAAACCTAAATGTGCTGGAGCGATAGCACAGCGGTAGGACGTTTGTCTTGCACGCAGCCAACATGGCCGACCCGAGTTCGATTCCTTTGCCCCTCTCGGAGAGCCCGGCAAGCTACCGAGAGTATCTCATCCGCACGGCAGAGCCTGGCAAGCTCCCCGTGATGTATTCGATATGCCAAACACAGTAACAAAGTTTTAGAATGAAGTTATGCTATTGAAATTTTTCAGTAAGTGCTAGTAGCTAACATTCAATTTGTAATAATTCCTCATAAAAAAATCTTCAGTGAGAAAGAAGATAGACAGAGAAAAAAAAATCAAGAGAAAATAACAAGAAGTAATGGGTTAAGAGGCATCAGGGCTTCAGTTATACCAGTGATATGAGTGAGGGGGATAGCCATTTATCCAAAACAGATTCAACAGAACTGAAAACACAAGATCTAAGTGGAAACCACTAAACCTTTGTAATGTGCCTGTCAAGTTGATAGGCAGGGTGAAGTCGGGATCAGTATGGGGAGGGAATATGGAAATACTGGTGGAGAAATTAGTGTTGAGTCTCTAAATGAGTATGCCTAAAACTTAGTTTCAGTAACTTTGGGGTATGGACGTGACTATTGGAGCTTCTGGAAGTACAGGGAAGTTGGGGCAGGTATCCCATCCTGACCCTGAGAAAGCCTGGAGATTTCAGTCACAGAACCGCAGAGCCAAATTTTCAGGAGATTAATATCGTGGTGAGGTCTGTCCTGAGATGGTGGAGTCTGGCCGAGGGCATGGTAGGGATTTTGAACTGTGGGCATAAGCAGCTGCTGGGGACTCTGTTTCGGGGGGCACTGGGTTAAACTGCTCCCTTTAATGTGCCTCAAATGATTCAGTCATGTGCTGGTCCAAAAAGATATACTATGGCTTTTTTATCTCTATTGAGAATTATTTGTTTCTGGAGCAAGGCCAATAAAATAGCTTATATGGTAGAATCAGAGTTGGTTTGTGGGGGTCACTGCTGGGGCTTCCAGGAGTACAGAGAAATAGGGAGAGGTATCCCTCCTGACGCTCAAGAAGCCTAGAGATTTCAGTCACAAACCCTGCATACCCGAATTTCCAGCAGGTTAATTTCTTGGTGAGGTACATCTCAAGATGGTGAAGTTTGGTGGAGTGCATGGTAGCAATTTTGGATTGAAGCAAGCTGCTTTGTAAATCATGGATCCTTAATAAAAATTTAAAAAATAAAAACTTGACCAAAATAACCCCCAAAACCAACAAGCTGGAAAAAAAAAACTCATAACAAAACAAAACTCAACTTGACCAGCACTACTGCAAGCAATGTGGGGAAGAGAGGGAGGAGGTAGTCTGTAATAATTCCGCTAATCCATTTTTAAAATTCTTTAGCAACCTAAACTTACACAGTTTGATTTTCCTGTCATTGCTTTCCCTACACTATCAAAAATGATGCTTTCTTTACCATTTCAGACTCATCATTAAATTGTGAAAAATCTAAAATTCAATTTGCCACATTACTGCTAATTTGAATAATGGCCGAATAAAAGACAGGAAACGCTGAAGCAGCATTGATTTCTAAAACATTTTGCACTTTCCTCCTCCATCCCTGTAAAGTAAAGCTCGGATGCCACGCACAATTACACAAGAAAATCAAGAAAGCCATTACATTCAGCATTTTGTCATGATCATTGTTACCATGGCAAAAAGTGGGCTTAGTTTAGCACAGCTGCTACAGGCAAGGTCTGTTGGCCTTTTTCGAAGCTGAGTAACAATATAATGCCAAACTCTGTGTCCTGTCGCTATTGTCAGTGAGAGTGGCAATTTTTTTTTTTAGGACAAGACTTTGTCCACAGATTCTACCTCTTCCTTAATGATATAAATCAATGCCATTTGATTATTACATTCTTATCAGTGGCCAGTGACAAAGCAACACAGTTGATCAAGAAATGTTACTTACCTGAACCACCTCCTGTTTCAAAAGGAGAAAATGTGTCGTGTAGGAAGTTGGAACTTCAATCACAGGAAAATAAGTTCCAACGGTTGTACTGGAGATGACAACAGAGCTGGAGAAAGCAGGGATTGGGAGGGAGAGACCAACGCTGGCCCACGATGATGGGAATATAGCATCTGATTTTCTTTCTCTAAGGTCAAGTTTAGTTATCTCTTACGTGGGAATGAAAGTAACTATATTGAGAGGATTAACAGAACATCTACAGGCCCAGCACACTGGTGGAGAAGTCAACAAAATAGCATCTTCTCCTCCAAACAGCACTGTTTTCTTTGCTTTTTCTTTTGGTTTGAGCCATGCCTAGTGGTGCTCAGGGGCTATTCCTGGCTCTCTGGTCATGAGTGACTCTTGGCTAAGCTTGGGGTACTGCATGTGGTGCTAATGATTGCAAGGGTGGTAGGGATACAAGGCAAGCACCCAAACCTCTGGTCTATCTCCCTGGCCCTATTCACCCTCTTCTTCATCACCAAGATTTCCATTCCTCGTGAAGTGTTGATTAAAGTTGGTAGGTAAAATGTTTTCTGATTTTGGAAAGTAAATTGTTTTGATCTTTAATAGCATTTGGAGACTTTCTTTAGAGATCTTAGGATATGTGTTTCTAAGGTTAGACAGCAAGCTTAAATTTCACATTCAAAGGATTACAAAAGTCAGTGGTTATATAAGCACCACAATTTACTATGCATGCTTTAAGTAACACCAATATAATCAGTGTAAAATGGAAAATGGAGGCCATACTAATTTTTGACATTATGCTAAAAATTTTAGTTTAAAAAAATGAATCAACATTACAAAGGCAGAGAAGTTTAAATTATCTGAAATGAATACATTAATCAAGTCTCTGTATTTACTGAAAACAAAGGCTACTAGCATTTTTACCAGCTAAACAAAATATTTTTTCTAATGAGATTTCAGCTGAATATCGTTTATCTTAAGAGAAAAATAATGGGACCTTACCTATTCCAGTAGCTCCAGAACTGGTCATGCAGGTAGGCGTGGTGGCTACATTCATCACCAAATGAGGCTTTGCTTTCAATCCAGTGAATTATGTGCCCTTCCACAGCTAAGGGACAAAGCATTACTAATATAGAGCAAAGGGAAGGGGAGATTGAAAATTCTGAACTCTGTACAGGGCTCTCCATGCTTCTCATTAATAAGAAAAGGTTGAGCCCTTAGCTTCAACTACTGTGGTAGTAATAAAACAAAACATAGAATATGTTCATAATCAGAAACATTTATGCTATAATTCCATCCTTAATACTTTTCTCATCTTCAAAAGTTCCTTTTTATTCTGAGACTGTATTAGTTGACAAGTATTATGAAAGTAAACCAAAGTGAGCCTGGCTTTTTGTGAGAACCATGTTTTAAAAAAATTTTTTTTAAATGATTTGAAATGGCAGCCAAAATGTTCTCAGTAAACAAATTTGTTGCTCAAATATATGCAAAAGTTCATAAGGCTAGATTTCTTCAGAATATATTTTTTTTGTTATTTTCAAATAATATTCCCAAGTACTTTACCCACTTAGATACAAAATTATCAAAGTAATGTACTCTGGCTATATTTGCAAATGTAACAAAAAATAAAACAGCTATTAAAAAGCATCACTTTACTTAAAGACTTACCAACTGGTACTTGTAAAATAAAATCTGGGGTTTTGTCATAGCCCTTTGCACGAAGCTGATCTTCGTCTATAGAAAGAACAAAAATTACTTTGAATAATATTCCACTAACAAGACAGCCATATACTCACTTTTCTCAAAAGTGTGTAAAGATTACTAAATGCTGTCACACAATCTTTGTTATGCGTGCAGTGCTTTGTCAAAAAATGAACTTTCTTAACAATCTGAAGCACAGATATAAAGATGCCTCTGTCCCTTCTGCATTTTTATGTCTTTATTATAAACATCATTAATTCAAGCTGTCATATGCTACCTTTTCATAATTAAAAAACTCAAAAAAATAAAATAAACTTACTGATTAAATGAAAAGGTCTTCTACACCATGGATATCACTGTTATCATCCAATATTGACAATTTACAGTATAGCACAAGCACAGTGGCCTTTACGATTATAAGACAAATGCTTTCATTTAAGCAATTAAGGAAGTTTAGTTTCAATTAGCAAAATTATTTCTACATATAAGAACACAAGAAAGGGACAAGGACAAGATCACCACAGAGAATTAATTACCCTGCTAACGCTTTTGGTATGCTATTGTTCCTGGCATTTACCAGAGTTTTACAATTAACAATATGTAATTCTAAAAAGCAAACAGCTTTCAGACGGTTTCCTAAGTCTGTTCGATTGATCTCTTGATCCTCTGTAAATATCAATGATCCGTTCAGAAGGAAAGGAGCCAGGAAAACAGAGAGTTTGACCAAGTTGGAAAAACTAGCAAGGTGCTTGGTTTAAAAAAAAAAAATCATTCAATATTTTCTAAATGCTGTCCTTGACTTCTAATGACATTACAATGTGATTTCTGAAATGAGGAGTTCTCCATTAGATTTTGGAGTGACCTGGTCATTCAATTCCAGACATGGCATTCTGTCTTCACCCAACCTCAACTAATGGCTCAACCAAGTAACAAGGAAGGCTGTGGGGTCTCTTAACACCTACTGGGCTGTTGACATTGTCATGCATCCCATTCGCCTTCCTGCATCACCTTTGATTAAAATTAATGGCCCATTCCTAGTGTTGGGTAGCTTATTTCCAATCCATTTGTCAGCCTAAGACAGTGGTTTCATGGCAAGTGTTCAGAAACTGTTTTAGAACACTCCTGTGTACAACTTTAAAGGTCAGCATTTTAAATGTAAATAACCTTTTAATGACAGGACACATATTTAAACTCAATATTTGACCTAAATTTTGTTAAAAGTAGACATTCTTTTATCATCCATATTCTGAAGAACTGGTATCAGAACTCAGAACAATTTTACCTCTTTGAAATACAACCAATAACTATCTCAAGTTCCGTGAGATAAGGGGATACACATTAATCCACTTTAAAGACAAGAGAATTTGAAAAACTACGCTGTTGATGATGAGACTGGGAAAATTTCTGTCCTCTTTAAATAAACTCTGATCACAATGAGAATGTTTAATAGAAAAGGCATTTATTAAGATCAAAAGCCTTGAGCTGACATTCCAGGTAGTTGATGAACAGTTTTAAAAGCTAGGTTGACATTAAAAAAAGAGATTAATATTTTATTAAAACTATTCCAGTTTGATCAACCTTTACAGATGCTGAACTCTGTTTGAGAACGAAAAATGATTATGTTCTGACAGCAGCCCAAAACAAAATTTCAAAGGTCACTAAGCAATCCAAATGCACACACTCAAATTTCTGACAATCCCTGTAAAAGGATATGCATTTCTATTTTCCTCACCAAAACTTACTTATATGATACTTACAATTTAAATTTCATGACTTACTTCATGTAAAAATTAAAAATCCGAACCTCAAAATCTGAACAGAAAACACTTGCTAAGATTAGGGAATCTTTCCAGCTTGACCATACAACAGCATGTTTTCTCCCTCTCAGTATAAAATTGATCCAATAATAACTGTATCCCAAAGATAGCTTCTTTAAAAGTCTAAGTCACCACCAGCAATATCAAAGTTTTTCTTAACAGTATAAAGTTATTCCACTCATCTGAAGAATAATGCTATTTTGTATTAGGTATTTTCATTTTTTATTTACTAATTAAATCATCTCATTGCTACGTTCATCCTAGATTTTCTAAGAAATGAGAAATAACCTGGCAACATTCAGAGGAAATGGCAGTATTGGACAGAAGCATTTACGCAATGGGTAGCCTTGTTTATCTGGTCTATCTATCAATGACCCTTCCATAGGGAGATTTTTAAGATCAGTCCCAAATATTTGGCCTGATTTAAAAAAAAAAACATTTTTTTTTAATTTACTGAATCACCATGAGATAGAGCATTACAAAATGGTTCATTATTGTGTTTCAGTCATACAATGTTCCAATGCCCATCCCTCCATCAGTGTAATTTCTCCACACCAGTGTCCAGTTTCCCTCCCACCCCTTCAAGCCACTCCCCACCTCACCTCTTTTCTCTCTCTCTCTCTCTCTCTCTCTCTCTCTCTCTCTCTCTCTCTCTCTCTCTCTCTCTCTCTCTCATTTTGGGCATTATGGTTTGTGATACAGATGCTGAAAGGTTATAATTTATATCCCTTTACCTGCTTTCAACACTCAGCTCTTGTCCAGAGTGATCATTTCCAACTAGTATTGTCATAAGCCTTTACATGAAGGGCATTTTCTGGTCCTCAGATCTTAGATTATTTATAATCAGATTAATATTCAAATAATTGGGTTTAAAATTTGACCATGTGACTGATCAAAGTTACAACTCTAAATTCTGGAGATTATAACTCAATCATCAGCCCATACTACTTTCCTTCTCCTTCTTTGTTCATTTTCTTGTCTTACTGTGCCTGGAGCTGTCTTCCACATACTGGACCTGAATCTCTTTTCTGAAAAACATAAAATGTTTCCTTTTCACATCGAAATACGATCACTTACTCTATGCTCATCACCAACATAAGCTTTCCACATTTTAATGATGCAAATGGGTGGTCCAGTAAAATACACTGCATTTTAAAGACTATCCATATCTTTTAGAAAGTCTACCTAGATTGACTACATTGTCCTTTCTTATTTCACTCCCCAAAGACCAATACTGCAGAGAGATAACACACTTGATCTAAAGTTCAAGGTTTTATTTAATCACTTTCCTTGATACTTTTTGTTTGTTTGGAGGCTACACCTAGCAGTGCTCAGGGGCTCCTGGCAGTGCTTGGGAGAGGGTCCCATGCTGCTGGGATCAAACCCAGGCATCTGTGAAGTCCTTTAAACTATCACCCCAGTCATGCCTTTCACCTATCCTTGAGATTCATCTTGATCATAAGGGACTTCCTACTATTTAACACTCATTCACAGTTTTTATTCTTTGAGTCACAGTACTATAAATCACACAACATTTATCTGTTTGGGGGGATATGGGACAGGGCAGGCACAACTGGCTTCACTCTGGGATCATTCATGGCCATGCACAGGAAACCATATGTAGTGCCGGAGACCAAACTTAGGTTGGTTAAGTTGGATGCATGCAAAGCAAGCAACCTACCTTCTATACTATCACTTTGGTCCCAGAAATGTATCTATTTCCTAAAGTTTGGGCAGAATTTCTCACAAAAGGCTGAGTTCAGCATTTCAGAGGTGAGCATATTTTTGGTTAACTTTCCTTATCATATACAGCAACATTATACCATACAGCTTTGTAATTCTTATTTTCCTTGAGAATCATATATTTCACCCACATTCTTATGGTTCTTTGCACATATTTGAGCCATGTGGTCACTGATGATTCTTGGAATTTCCCAAGATTTCCACATTGGATGTTTTAGAAAATATTTTCCTTAAAAAATTAAAAATATAAAAAACAAACCAGGAACAAAAAGAAATACTAATATTAGTTTGGAAGATGTGGAGGAGTGATGGCAATGTTTTTGAATAGCATTTTTATTATGTAACTTTCCGACATGGTTGGGGATTAATAAGAGATTAATTTCTAAATCTATGTGCTTATCATTCCCAGGGAATACAGCAAGTAAAGCAAATAATTAATTAGGTTCTTTTAATTTAAGATATAGGTTAAAAACACCTACTGTAATGCTTTAGTGTAATGCTTTTCTGGGCCACAAGCAGCTGTGCTCAGGACTTACTCCTGACTCTGTATCACTGCTGGTGGTGCTTAAGAGACCAGATGTGGTGCTGGGGATTGAACCTAGGTCAGCTGCATGCAAGGCAAGCACCTTACTCACTGTGCTCTCTCTAGCCCAGGCAGTGTAATTGTTAATTACTAAGTTTGCTAATATCATAGTTCAAATGCTCATTATCAAAGTAAATAAGTATATTCTTGCTTAAAAGCAGAATTTTATCTAAATCCACAAAATGTTAGTCAATAGATATTATTCATATTGCAAATTATGGTTATTTTTGAACTAGTAAATTTCTGGAGATTACTAGCCTCATTCTAGTTTGTATGGGACAGGCTACACAATGGTGCTCAGATATTAATCCCAGCTACTTCTGGTGGTGTTCAGGCGACGATGGGGAGAAAGGGATCAAATTTAATCCTCCGGCATGCAATGCATGCACACAAACTCATTTAGCTATCTCGCTGGCCCTGACATTTCAGTTTAAAGATAACAAAATTATTCTAGAGAAGATAAGGGAGCCACCAAGAACTAGTAGTAATAGAGGCAAGAGTTTACAGAATCGTTTTGATTCGTTCCCAAATAACCATACATTACTTTTAACGATGAGAAATATTTAAGTTGGGTCATGTTCCACATTTCTAAAATGGAGAGAATGTTACAGGTGAGGTCATCTGCTGCAAAGAATCTATGTGATAGTGGTCTAAAGAGACAGTAAACTGGATTTCTATCATTTCAATAGTCATTTCACCAAACTGGAATCAAACAAAACCACAAATTTTTCAAAAACAACCCAGACTTTCATTTACTTTTAAGTTGCTGGGCTCCCTTTAGAGGGCATTTTTTAAAAAAGGAATTATACATATATAAAGAACATTGTGAAAGTTTAATTTCTCTGGCCTTTTAATTACCCTCTACTTTAAATGCTCAAAATATCCCAAGC